CTCATGTCACATCGGACATGACCAAAGTATCAAAGGCGGCGGGGCTCACTCCTTTCAGAACGCCAGCCACTTCGCGAGACGTCGAGCAAAGTCCCACCTCGAAAGGAGCGAATCGATCGGTTCGATGTTTTTTTTCAGTACCACCTTTTAATCTAAGCTATGAGCGCTGTGGCCACTCCACCGTTTTTGCCCCATCCAACTGTGACTCCTTCACCAGAATTGACCTCCCACAAATCACCAATGGTCATTGAAACATGTAGTGGGCCCACGAGCCTCAAAGTGTTTGCTAAAATGCTTGTTCACATTTCCAAGCCATTCTTGATCGATGTTGTTCACGTAGAATGACCCGGTCAACCTTGTCACAATGGTACATACGCATGGGCGCCGAGCTGGAACAGTTGCTACATGGAATCTATCAATCTAGGATCTTGGCAGGACTTGGATCGAGGACCGGTCTTCACCGGTAGTATGCTGTCCATCATCAGGGGGTTCAATGGTCCATGACCTAAATGGTAAAGGCCCAAGGCATTCTGTATTGGAGGACAAATCTGAATGAAAGTCTAAGATGGCTACATCTTGACCTTCAGCTGTTCGGGAGTTGGTACAATCTGAAATTGATTGGTCCTTGAATCCGCTTGCAGAAGCACCAGCTCTTGCAGGCTTTTGGCTTTCTTCTCCTGCCAAGATGATTGGATCCGAGGCAGGGTCGCACCAGACCGTTCGACCCGCCTCACGGTACCTTTGACGATTCTTCTTGGCCTTCTCCTGGTGATGGATTGGAATGAATGGGGGCGCTTGATATGTGGTTGAGTCAATCCGTCGTCACTAGAATTCATTTGTTATAATTGTTATAACTTTGGGTCTCCTTGGGATCTTCCTCATCACCATTTTTCTTCTCATCTTCTTCTTCCTTTTCTTCTGGGGTGTTGTTGTTCTTTGCCACTGTGCTCTCCTCTGCTGCAATATCCTTGCTCTCATTCTTCGCTTCAGCTTCAACAGTGGCTGCTTTCTTCTTCTGCTGTCGGCCTGGAACCTTTGCTTTCTTCTTCTCTCTTGGTTCTTCGCCCTCTTCATCTCGCTCTCGCTTCATTCGTTCTTCTTCAGCCTCCATAGCCGTATCCATGCCAGGAACATCGTCTCCATCAACTGCTTCCTTGGTTTCTTCTTCTGCCTTCCTAGCTTCTCCCTTTGCATCCTTTTTTTCTCCTTTGCCACGGCCTCTCCCTCGACCTTTCCCCTTTCCTTTCTTTGCAGTCTTTTCTTCTTGTTGTCTTTTCTTTTCTTCCCTTATCTCAGCCCTTTTGGCTGTTTGCTCCTGGGAAAACCAAGCTTGAGTGAACAATTTGGACCGATTAATAGATCCACCGATCTTAAATTCAAAAACAGCAATCCACCCCCCAGCCTGTAGAATTTTCATTGCTTCAGTATTTCCATCATTTTCTTCGGGCAACTCTGGAAGCTCTGGAATTTCTTTCGTCAAAGGAGGTCGGCAATCTGCAAAAGCCGTCTTTGGTACTCCGTTTTCTTCACTTTCTGCATCATCCTCACCTTCAGGTACCCATTTCTGATCCTTCTCAGCTGACTCTTTCTTTTTCGCTGCCAAGAAGGCATTGCATGCTTTCTCTTCTTCCTCTTTGTCCTCCTTCATCTGTCGCTCGTACATTTCCTGCCTCTGTTTTTTGCGTTCCTCCTCAAGCATCGAACCCAGGAAATTAGCCAGGAGCTCATCGGATAGGGCTTTCTTTTCAGCCGCCCTGTCCATATCACCCGCCCTTCTCGCTTGAAACATTTCAACAAAGGCCATTGCGAATCTCTCCTGGAGTTCTTCTCCATCTTTTGTAAGTTTGATTTTCTTGTCCGGGCATTCTTTATTTTCCAGCTTCTCATCCTTCTGGCTTTTCCTTTTCTTGTCATCCTCCTGTTTTTGCTCCATAGCCTTCCTCTCCTCTTCTAGCTTTTCCTCCTCCAGTTTTTTCAACTCTTCTTGTCTCTTCTCATGAAGCCTTTCCTGCTCGATCTCCCGTTCCTTTGCCTGTGCCTGTTCCATCAATTGCACTGCTCGCGCCTGAACAAGTCGTTCAAACTCCTCTTGATCCTCCTGTTCTCGCTTCTTTTGCTTTTCAATCTTTTGTTTTGCTTCTTCCTCGTCCAACTTCATTGGCTTTGCTTGATCTTCATCAGTTTCAATTGCTGTCGTGCTTTCCTTTTTCTGAGCCACCTCCTCCTCCACGGTTTCGTTCATGCCACTGGCCTCCTGCTTCATGTTGTAAGCTTCTTCCTGGATCTTCCGGTTGAACTCCTTGCTGCTTTCCTTCAGCTTGTTCAAGGTTGCTTCATCCACTTGGCCCTCCAAATCGTCTTCTTTGTCAGCCTCATTGGCCAGAGACTGTGGTGCTTCAGCCTTCTCACCGTTCTCGGCGTGATCATCTCCAGTGGGTTGTGGGTCGTTTGGTGTTTTCACTTCATTCTCAATCTCCATATTGCTTTCCTTCTTTGGAGCGGCTGCATCTTTCTCAGCCTCCTGTTCATCATCTCGCCGTACATGATGAGACGTTGGCTCTCCATTCTCATCAATCGGACTGTCCTCTTCAAAGTCTTCCTCTTCTTCCTCCTCCTCTATCATAAGGAGCTCAACTTCATCCTGCTCTTCGTCTTTTGTCATTGGATTCTGGCATTCCTTCTTTTCGCCCTCCTTCTTTTCATCTGTTGGTTCATTCTCATCCTCATTGTTTTGACCACCCTTCTTGCCATCCTTCTCACTTTGTTCTTTGGATTCTTTGTTTTTTTGCTTCATCTTCTCCAAGTCCTGGCGTGGGGAGGAAGGTCCCAAGATATGATGTTGGGCAAAAACATATGCCTCCACCGAAAGAGGTTTTCTGATAGATCTTGTGCGCTTTGCAATGCCCGCGTCCTGCAACGGATTGCTGAATTCAAAGGATTAGGATTTGCTTTTGACATTCAAAAATATCGAGTACATATCGAACCTGGAAGATGGCACCAACCAAAGTCTTCAAATCGTGCATAGGGCCATCCTTTCGCCTCCACCAAAACAAAAGGAATACTAGTCCCTGGGCTAGTTGAGAATTACAGACCCACAGACCTCGCGTTCGGTGCCCTCCGGTAGCAATTGAGGACTCTAGCTTGTAGGAGTCGATGGAGATTGCCTTCTTTCAAGGCCCACTCCTGCCATTGGATGGTCCACGGCAGAATCCTAGATTGGTGAACACATGTTCACATAAAAAAAGCACATCCTCAGCACCCTGGTTCTCAGCCACTAGGCGGTGTTCAACAGCAATTGCACTGAGCGCATCCTGGAAACAGAAGCAAAAGAACCAAATGAAATACTGTACAGGTGTTGCTCTAGCCTGGCATTCCCTTGAAGTGGGGCTGTTGAGGGCGAACGTAGGGAGCCAATTCATCATGAAGTCCACGTTCGTCTTGCATTGGATCTGCCACACAATTGCGATACTTCAGCTATGACCAAACAGTTAAAGCATGTCAGGCCCACAGCATCCTCAGTCAACCCCTTTTTGGGATGGACATAAATGAACGAGAATGTGCATGGTACCTGGCAAACGAAACCCGATCCATTCCATCCTGATGTTAGTTTTAAACACGGTAGGATCACCTTTTTGTCTTGCATGTGCCTCTCGAACTTGCCATAGCTCATGCCTTCTTGCTTTGCAAGCTCCCAAAAACGAGCTTCCCTGTAGTCATTGGACAGCCTCTCCTCGTAGAAATCCTGATCAGTAGTCAAACGGAGTCCTAAATCCTCTACTGCAAACATGTGCCGTGTCCTTCAACAGCGCAACCCGATCTCCGTCAGGTTTGGTCGTTGGCATGGAGCCCACACCCGCCCGCACAAGTCGAAAAAAGATCAGCCAGTGGGGACTGGGCGACCTTCGATCTCTGTCTTTTTTTGAGCAAAGGTCACGGGTAAGCGCATGAGTGGGATTCAAGCAGTGCAACTTCATCACGTTGTGGGTGAACTCAGTTTAAGTGGAAAGGCTCGGAAAGGCACCTTCTGGACTCTGTCGAAGTTCCAACTTCCCTAGGCGGTGGCAAAAGGCGTTGCTTCACCACCAGTACTTTAGATTCCAGGGCCCAGACTCTTTCGAAGAGCCCTTTGCATCGCGCCCCCCCGGGCTGTTGCGCAAGACTTCTGATCTTTGCGTATGCATACTACGGCCTATCTTTTCAAATTAAATGCCCTTGAACTGATCACAAATATGTCGAATGAAGACCATTGATCCACAACTGGCCACGGGAGGTTGGTCTAATTGAGTCTTTACACAACGACGAAGTTTAACGCGGTTAAACTTAGTCATGAACAACGACGAAGTTAAACTTAGCCATTGAAGGTCAGGGATGATATTTCAAAACACGGTGGTGCGAGAAGCGGAGGCAGTCGAGTGCGACAGGTACGCATGCGCCAGTGTCATACGCGTTTCAAGACTCATTGGGTGAGGCTTGGGTTCAGATTTCCCCATGAACTGTGCTCGCTATCACCGTGGGCCTGACAAAGTCATGAACCAAGTCATGGGGCCCAGCAAAGGAAGGGGTCAGGATTCTCGTGTCATCGTAATATAATGCAAATGTCCTCATGAAGATTCTTTGGGTTAGCAGCTGGAAATGAATCACCAGTATCAATCCCGCGCTTCTCCGTTCCATTGTCTCAAGTTACAAGCTGCAACCTGTTTGAGACCTCAAACAAAAACCATCGAACTCATTGAGTCACAGAAAAAAACTTGTCTTAAACCCCCCTGGAATCTACATATGCACATCTTGCGGCTATTTATGTACTTGTTTGTCCACTCATATTAGCCTCAGCGAGGGTTTCCAACTATCTCCACAGTTCTCTCATAAACCTCTTAAAACCTGAGGAATCTGAGGAGTCGGACCTTCATCTCTCTTCCCGTCCGCCTTCACCAAGGAGATCGGACCTTCACCTATCCGCCACCGTAGCCGCCCTTCTCCCTCCGCCCCCACCGCCGGGCCGCAAGAAGGCGTCCACCCCGGGTGGCACGCAGGGCACGAAGTCGTCGCGCATCTCCTCATAGCCGCCTCGGCAAGGAGGACCCGGTGGAGGACAGTTCGAGCTTCAGCGGCGAGGTGGGGTGTAAAATCCCCAGAATTGGACAGGAATAGATGGACTTTCCTGCATAATTACATATTGACCCTTCCAAGATGTAAAAACTGAGTCTACCATTCATGATAACTTTTGGCATACATGTCCATACATTGGAGGCCACATTGGGGTGTGACATGGTGGTGTGATGATGATTCTTCTTCTGCCGCGAATGGGGAAGACGTGATGGTCTCGGAGTCTCCAGAGCTGCACATCGAGATGGACGCCGCCTGGTTCTGATCCTTGGAATCCTCTGAAACCCTATAGGGGGTATAGGATGGACAGCGCCTGGTGGACTAGACCGGAAGAAGTGCGGTACATAGGTCCCCCCATGTCCCCCCCCAACCTCCTCCCTCCGAGATCGACGCCCCAAACACCCGGCGAAGCGAACCTCCCGACGTCGATCGACGCGGAACGGCCAGCGCGGACAGTCGGACGGTCGGACCAGGACCGCCGGCGCGGCGAAGCTCGGATGGACTTTCATCCAAGTGGCCGATGTTGTAGGTGTACCTTAGAGAGACATGTCCATGTCTGGACCTTCAAGGGGTGGTCCTGTCGATCCCGAAGAGTAGTGCACTGGGCCGGGGCCAAACCCAGGTGACCCCGGAATGAAGGTGCTCCAGTGAGTTCTCTTAAAAGGGGAATTCCACGACATCGCTGCGCTCGGATTTGTTGGTTTAAGGGTATCCCCATGTATCCCCTCTTTTTGGATCGTACCAATCAATAGTAAGAGGCCATCTATGCCTCAGCCCTTTACTGACTGGTGCGACGAAGAGTCTGAATGAGGGAGGGAATGGATCCTTTCAGGAGTCCCCATTCCTAGGAGGTAACATGTCTCCCTCATGTCCTGCGAACTCGTCGCACCAGCCAGTTCACTGTAGTCACTGTAGTCCCTATATAGGGTCCAGTTCGCCCAGTTCGTTGGCGCCAAACAAGCCGAAAGCATTCTTTCTTGCTCGTCCAGTGAAAGCATTGACTCCCCTTGGACTCCCAGTAAGTGAACACCATCTGATAGGTCAAACATGGGTTTAAACATGGCCCAACTGAAACAGACTGTGTTTCACACTCTCAACTTTGATGTCACAGGACCTGAAGATGTCTTTCTGGGTTTGATGTCCCAAACGTTTTGGATGTCGGGTTTGATGTCCACTCGAAACGACTCCCAGAGCGCTGAAGTCATCTCTCAGACCCTTGGACTCACGTGACATCAACTGGCTGAAGTCATCTCCGACCCGCGTGACGGCTTGATCTCCCCGGTCGCACCGTAAGCACGGCTCCTTGAGGAGCCCAAGGGACCAAACGAATTAGACTCCACATGGAACTCACATGGAAGTGGAATTGTAGAGGACAAATGAGGACAATAGTCTTCCAAGCAGCCATGCCATCCACTTCCATGTTAGTTCCAAGGAGCGTAATAAACCCCCTTGGTTGGGTCCTGGGCCATGTTCAACCCAAGTTCAAGCTATACCAATCTTTCATCCAAATCCCCAAGCTCCATGTTTTTCGTCCAAGCAGGATGATCTTCCTTCCCAATGTTCTTCCTTCCCAATTGGGAAGGGTTTGGGTTCCGTATACCTTTCCCTTCCCCCCAAAAAAATCATCCTAGCTCAAAGATTCCTAGGGCTCCTGGCCTACCTCCGTTTCAAAGATGGTGATGGTGGGTGGGTTTGTGGGGTCGAATATCACCTTACCTGAGGACATGGGCCAGGAGCCCAAACGGGGATCTTCCTTCCCAAGTCTCGTCCAAGTGGCACCGCAATCCGAGAACGCTGGGCACGGTGGAGACGGTGCCGGCTCGTTATGGGCTCGCTGTGGCGGTTGCAGGTGTAGGCTTCCCCTCGGCGTGGCCACCGGGAGGGAAGCAGTTACCCCAAGCTGCGACTTGGTGCAGTAACTCAGGTCTTATGCTGTAGGGCTTAGAGCATGTTCTTTCTTACAAATCAAACCACTGGCCCATTTCCAACATTATAAACTCTAGATTCTAGGTTCAGAAACCGTTGATAGAATAACAAATTAAACGCCACAAAAAGATCTAAACCTCTGGGTACTATTAATCAAACCATCGCAGGGCGACATATGGGCACATTGCATGATCGATCTTCTGCCTCATACTCCATTGTGACTGTAGCATACCTTATCGTTTGGACCACGTCAAACGTACACAAAGCTATATTACCCAAACGATCCATGGGACAGCCAATATCGCCTACATTTGATGGTTTTTGGTGGTGAATGTAGGCCATATTTACTTACATCTTACATGGATCCTCTGGGTGATAAAACATCTGAAACGGTGCAAGGGAGTCCCCATCACCCATCCAGTATCACCGCCGTTGAAGTTCCACTCGACATTACATGGTCTCTATATAGTATCTATAGCCTCTAGAAGTGGTGCTTAGATTCCTGCGTGTCAGCGCGTGTTTTGAAAGGCCACCTCTCATTGATGCACCCTGTCATACCCTTCTCACGGCTGCGCTTCACTGATCACATACTCCGATTTCAAGGGGGGTCACCGTGCTCCACCAGTTAGGTCTTGTGGAAAACACACCACCCACCCAGGTGGGTGGAGCACACAGCACACACCACACCCGCCACACCCGCCACCGGAGACGACGCGACGGAAGGACACCGGCCGGTGTGTTCGAATGGAAAGCGAACGGAAGGGTCAAGCGAACGGAGCGAACGGAGCGGAAAGCCAACGCGAACGGAAGAACTCGTGTCACATCATCTGAGATGTGAAGGAAGGGAACTCCAAACGTTTTGGAAAGCATTGGAAAACCCTCCCTTCCTGACTGGACATGTTTGCGATCTTTGTTTGCAAGTCTGCATCAGTTCCGATATCCGGGGTTCCAGTTCTGCATCCAGGGTTCCAGCTATATTGAGGGTAAAACCCATCGACCACAACCATTGGTGAAGAATGTTGAACGTCACAAGTCGCAAGTTTTCCCAACCCTTGCATTCATACCCTCGCGTCGACAACACCCTTTATTTTGTTAATTTGTTTCAGTTTATTTAATATATACGCCTCACCAAAACCCGCACATCGTCAAACACCCGCGCGACCGGTTTTGACCAACGTCGACGGCTAGACAGCTGGGACCGAGCTTCGACAATGGGGCGGATGGTGATCATCCACTTTGCTTTCAGCCGCCTGGCCCATCGGTGACATCGTGTTTTTGCCTTTTCTTCGGTCCGTTCTTGACACCCACAGCCATGGATGGAAGCAGGTGGAAAGCGGACAGCCCAGTTTGCCTGAACAGTGAGCGGATCTGCTGGTTTGAAACAAGTACAGGAACCCCAAGGAGGCTCTTAACACATCTCATGTTCTTGTTCTTAAGCAGTGCCAGTATAATATTGCAAGTACAAGATAGTACAAGTATATTCGCACAGTACACAGTATATTCGCGTCCTGCCCAAATCAGCTGTGACTGAACTGGGCTTCCTGTGTTGCCTACGGTGCACTCTTCGGCAGTCTTTGTGTGGTACTACCCACCCAGTAAACGACCTTTTATCCAATAGCACATGGGTTTTGACCGCCATGCCTCTTGAGACACGAATGTCTTTTCGTGTCTCCATGACTCCAAAACCGATTCCTCCGCATCGGTAAAACCTCGTGCCACATGGGTTCGGTCTCCCGTCCTCGCCCTGATGCAATAGGCTCACTTCCTGGGTCGATTGGGTCGATGCATTCGATGCATCGATGTCGAACCCGAGAGATTGATCGGCGTGGTTTGCAGCCGTTAGTCGGAAAAACGAACTGCACCGAAGTTCCAAGCATTTGTGGTACCCTGCCTGAGACTGACTTTAGAGGTACCACACACAGTTCTGTAGGTTGAGCTGTTTCTCAAATAGATCAGATCAGAATGAACACCAATGAACTGAATGGAAAGGACCCAAAGGACCCAAAGGACCCAGAAAACTCTGTCTTTGACCTTAAACACACATTTCACATGGTGCGTGGAAGAATCCTTTGTTTGGTACCGTGTTACTATATGTGTTACTCCTCCATGTGATTTTTGCCGCATTAGCTATGTGATTATGTGGTCACTTCTACCCTGTTCAGTAGAGAAACCATTGCGGACTCTCCAAGGTTGAATCCTTACTACTACTAAATTGTATAAATAACCCCCCACAAGAATGGTCTCTGGAATCTTTAAGACTCTAAGACCATCTGATGTCATCAAAGCATTTGACCAACACTCATTTCACGTTCCTCTCGCCACCGTGCTTTGCTTCAAACGAACCTCACCAAGGCGCTCCGCCGGCCTCCACCCGCCGCAGCAAGCGCGGGTAGCTGCGCCGGTCCTCCGCGGAGGATGCGGAGCCGCGCGGGGCTTCCGCGGTGGAGGCGAAGAGCGCGGTTCCACGGGCGTTCTGGAGAACTGGGCGCGGAGCAGGGAGAAAACGGGGCAGGTTCGGAGAAAACGGGGTGTGGGATACGGGCATGAAAAGCAGTGCCTGGACATGTTCCAGATCTGACATGTGAAACCAGCTGAAGGAGGGTGTCCCTTCACAGTTTGTGGCTATGTCCCACTTCTGTATCTTCTATGCTCTGCAAATGAATTCTGATAGCAAAAGGGCGGTTGAGAAACTCCGTTTTGTAGTGAGGAATACGATTGCCCAAGCTCCTAGGATCTGTTCTGACAGAGGGCTGCAAACCCAGCTGCCAAATGCACTATATCACTATATTCTGTTCCTCATATGTTGTTCCCATTCAACACGAAGCTTCACAGTCCTGGTGACCGAAACTGTCCCCTCCAAACACCGCCATGCAAGAAAACTCATTCCTCCCAAGCACCAGTTCCTCCAAAGGCACGCGGCCATCCACGCACGTTTGGAGGTCGCGTTGTTCCTCCGCCGGTGCAACCGGGGAGCCCGAAACGGCGAGGAGAAAAGCTCGGAGTGGTGGCCAGCGAGGCCGCCAAGAGCAGCAGTCACCTCGCTGGAGGACATGGAGTCACTGGAGATTCTCGGGAGATGATCATGTTAGATTATGTTAGGATTGTTATATAGGTATACTATATATATAGACCTGAATCGACATGTATAGAAAGCAAAGCAGCAGAATTGATGTGGCACTGCCTGTTTTCGCATCACTGGTTGAGGTCTGTGTAGAACATTTAGAATGTTCAATGGAAGTCCAGCGCCGTTCCAGTCTTTAGTCCAGTGTAAATTGAGGATAGCTCTCTGGTGATGCGGCGCGCTGTCTGAGCCACGCCTGTCATCGCCCATGGGGCGCGACCGTATGGATGGCCTGAGACCTAACCGTTGAGCCACACGAGGCTGCGGCTGCACGGAGAAAAAGCAGAAGTGGCGCAACAACATACAGTATGCCTTTGAAGATGATGGTTGTCGCACCGATGAGTCTTTGGTTCATCTGGATTCATGATGGTTTAGTTTCGTTCGTGTATAGTCGAGTAGATGGCACAGACCCCAATGTTGGTGGTTTATATGGATCTCCATCTTTCTAGGACATCATGAATCATGGGGTGCCAGTGCCATCGAACCTCTGAAACTACTGTACGTGAAGAGAGCAGTTGAAACATGTTAAACATCCATTAAACATGTTGAGGTCACCACGGGTAGAATCGAGCATTGACCCAATCCTGTGGTCTTTTACGGATTTTTCCCCATATATGAGCCAAAAACCCTGATCATGAAAGCACATGACACCTCATCCAAGCACTTCCGACCGCTTGGTGCCCGTTTGCGGAGGGAGGATGGAACCGGTGGTGTCGCGCCTGACCCATGCCGAAGGCCACATTGGCACCTCGACGACTCGGCGGAGGTGTCTGAAGTCCGGTCCCGTTGGTGGGGCCTGAGAAGAGCCCAGCTGTTTTGGGTGGCAAGTCATGGTGAAAAACACACAAACATCGGGGGGGGGAGAAACTGAAGAGTTATATATACATGGAAACCATCCCGAAAAGGACAGACCTCCGAGAGTTTCGAGCTTTTTGGGTTCAATGAGGCGATGCTCGGCGTCTTTAGGCATTGATGAGAACTCCGTTGATATCAAGGGTGTTCTGCAAGAGCGTTTGCTCCACACCTAAACACCACCACATCGACTGTCTGTCACCACACAAACGAACCTAGAACCTGAGAAAACCTGAGTGTGTTTGGGGGGATCAACTCTCCAACATGCATGGCCTTCGGGTTTTCAGGGTGGAACGTCACATCATGTAGATGGTTGATTAGTATACACTAGTATACACATGGGGCCTGAAAACACGGACCATGAGAGAAAGTGAGACGACAATCATAGCAGTGCTCTAAGCTAAGCCTCAAAAACCGAAACAGGACAAATGGGGAAAGCAGGCAAAACCGCTCCGAGCTCCCAGGAGCTTCATGGCCTTGTCCCATCAAGGCGGCTTCGGCATCTCATGTAGACTATTGAACCCCCCCAAAGAGATGCCAAAACATTCTGGAACCCTTAGGGAGGTTTTATATACCCTAGGGCTCCAACTATCTCCTGAGAAGATGGTGAGTTTGGGGGGTCTAATCACCTTCTGAGGATATGGTTGGAGCCCTAGGGAGAACTCATCCACCAACCCCTGACGTCTTGGATCTGCTCGGCTCGGCGTCCGCGCCCAGCGTGGCCGCTGGTGCCTCGGGGCCCAGGGAGTTGCCCGAGCCCAGCGTGACGGCCGCTGACCTGACTCGCTTGGGCGGGGGAGCCGGGATGGAAGGACCAGGAGGTGGGGATGGGATGGGATGAAGGTGGGTGGGGTGAAGTATTATAGACAGCAGCAAACAAGAATACAAGTACAAGAACATCCAGCGGATTAAATACCCCTTTACGTATCACGGGCCCTTATCCAGATTACCGAGTCGTTCAGGTCTCTGAACGATGAGCGATTTTTGCGCATTTCGGGGTGGAAGTGTTGGTGCAAGGGAGGTTTATTGGAGGTTTAGTTTTCTGAAGGAAAGGTCCTGGACGGTCTGGGGAAGGTCCTGAAATTTGATGACATGTCTGACAGGCATGTCTGAAAGTGGAACCTATCGAGGAAACTGCTGCTTGGAGAGGTATGGGATGGCATGGCATGAAATGGACGCTCAGCGTCGCCTCCTCTTGATGGTGCAAACTTGAAAGGTTCTGCACATCAGAACGAACGGCTGTGCCCGGAACATGACGCTTCCATCTTCACCCGTCAAGGTGTCCCTTTCACATGTCCCATTTTTTTGGACACATGTCCCGTGTTCCTTCATCCCTCCCTTCCCTTGGAGTTACACTCCCTGAAACGAGAGTGGAAGTGGAACAAAAACACATGGTCTGTGATGATTTCAAGGAGTGTACTAGTAGAGTTGATCTTCCTTCCTAGGAGACTTCATGGACCGCTCCTTAGGTGACCTGTCAAGTGTGCTCCTTGGTGGATCTTGTGCCATCGTCTCAAGTGACTCCAAGTCTGCCCCGGCACTTCAACGATGGCAACAACAGGTAGGTCAGCTAATGTAAACGATGGCCAACACAAAGGAAGATGCCAGTTAATGATATTTCCTTTATACAATAAAATATAATAACATATAGATTCCGGTATGACGTTTGGTTCCTCCATATTATTGGTAGTGGATCGATAGTTGTCGAATTGATTCATTCCATTGTCATCCGCATCAGTTCCATAGCTGGGACATGGGAGATCAGCTCCCAGAAGACCGGAACACCGTTCTTCCCCTTCATTCGGGTCCCGGGCAGGGCATTCCCTGCGGCCCGCAGCGGCCAGTTGTCAGGAGGTTCGGGGCCGCCGGCGGCGGCATAGGATTTCCTTGGCCGGATGACTGGGTGGATGAGTGGTGGGACAGAAATTGACAGAAAGACTCACTTCAGAAGACATGCATGCTGCATGTTCATGATGTGTTTTATCTCATTAGTTGTGCTCAGTGCTCTTCCATGATCTTGTTTAAGGTTGGAGTATGACGATATTATTCTCTCCGTACTCTGGGAACTTTGACGCACACATGTTGAGATCATTTTTGGACAGTTCAATCCCTCGACCATGTTTTTCCCGCTTTTGACCGATTTGATGTACTATAAATGTTCGCATTGCCGTTTGTTTGCGGACTCCCGGTCCCAGTTACTGGAAAACCATTTTACGGTAATCAGGCAGGGAGCGCCTCTTTGGAGCAAAGTGGCTCCAAGTTCAAGATATTGTTGCAAGTCTGCGAGTATCACTGTTGGCTTAGGGAAATATATATATATATAGCCACCACCCAGCCACCACCCCTAAATAAAGCTACTGTGGAGCGTGCTGTGAGAAAAAAGCAAACACAGCACGCTCCAGTCCACTGACCGATTGGAAGTCAAAGAGTACTGTCAAGAGTTTCCCTATACCAGCACCCTCCAACAGGCTGTTTGGAGACACTAACAGGTGGTTTCTGGGCACCTGTTGTCACCAGGAAGCACCTGTTGGAGGGTGCTGGTATATAGATCTGATTATTTGATGAAACACATTGGAACTGACTTCTCACTAACCGGTGCCATGAACTGACTTCTCTGAAGAGAAAAAGTGCAAATGTACAGGTTCACCAACCCAAAACTCGCCGCTCTCAAGCTGTTACCATTTCAATTCGGAATCATTCCGAAGTGGATCAGCCTGGATCCTGCGTTTTCAATCACCACCCTTTACCTTCCGGAAGCTTGGGGCTCTTCCAAAGTTCCTCTCCCTCCCTCCCTTCAGGACCTGTCTCACCTGCTACGCGTGCTCGTCACGCCATCCTACCCGCGCTCCTCCGACGTCTCCTGGGTCCTCCCGACAGCGACTTGATGTCAGTGCCCGCGAGGCCCTCACGGCCGCCGAAGGCCGCGAAGATGCCGGCCAACAGGAGGGCGCCTTGCCCGCGCGGGCGACGCGTTTCGGTGCGGTGCGGTGGGTTTGGTGCGCCGAGGTGTTTAAGGATGGAAAGGCGGGGGTTTGGGGTTTTTACGGTATGTTGATGCGAGTTTGTGTGTGTTTCTATTTCTTTGTGGCTTGCTTGGACAGGGGAAGAGACCAAAAAGAGTCAGAGAAGAGGGACACTTTTGTGCCGCTCTTTTGGTGGGTGTAACATACACTGTGCAACAAGGTGGTTGTCAATGTTTAGATATCGTGCTTTGAGAGGCAACATTCTGCTTTTTCACCCCAACTGCATGTTCTAATGTGTTGTGTACCGTCTTGCGGTGAGACCCGTCTTGTGTGTCCGCTGTCTAGGGGTCTTGCGCCTGACCCTAATTGATTTCAACAAATGTGCTTGTAGACATCTACAGTAAACTTTGAAGGGGGAGGCGACGGCAACAGTGTGGTTTTTGTACAACATCAGAGTTGGCTTGGCAACCAAACCAGTTCGGCCCAGCCCTAGGGCTCCAAACAATAACCTCCATTTCACCCTAGCGCAGTTGAAAACCTTTCAAGCGATTGCAAAGTACCAGCACGTGTCGCGAAAGCTACGTATACACTGGTCGAACTCCAGGATCCTTGATCTGGTGCCAGGTAGACGGCCCAAACTGAAGCTTCATTCCATAGATCTACTCAAAGGAAGAACTCTTCAACCACCGTGAGGGTGTCACGCTGGTCTTGGCTGAAAAACGTCTTTTGTTAAGGCCGTGACCCAGGAGCGGTGCCAACACCGGCCAGGGCAGCTCTTCTCTCAGCTCCTGGCAAATCACCCCCAAAAACGGCAAAACATGGTCTGCGGATTCAGTTGGAAGTTCTCTAGCAAGTGAAGGTGTGCAAGACTCACCAGGTCAATGATGCCTTGGGTCTTGGAAGGCACATGGGTTTGCAATGGTTTGCACCTGGCCCTTTTTTCACTGGGCCCTTTAAGTATCTCCTGAAGTACTTTGAGAGATGAGGAGCTCAATCCATCAGGTCAAACAGGCACCGGAGATGGTGGCCACCGGAGTGACATTACCACTGGAACGACCATCCAAGCCAGCCGGACCGATCCCTTGTCCCGTCCCATCCTCCAGCGTCTTAATCACCTCCTCAAAGAGCACCACCGCCCATCCTGGTTCAGACATCTAGCGGCGCGGTGGCGCTGGACAGTTTGGCAAACATCGGCTGGAAAACATGGGCATGTTTGGCACGAAAAGAGGTCACAGAAGCTATGACCCACCAATATAGGTGCTCTTGATGGGTTCTTTCTGGGGGGGCTTCTAAATTCTGCTGCAGTTCGTATTTGGTGCATGAAACAAACATCCCTGTACACCTGCAGAACACCAACAAAAGCCCTTCTTGGTGTATGGTTCAGCCAGCTGTAGTAGATGTTATACAGATTTATACAGTATCATTACTCCGCCAAGATTCCCCATCCCGACCGTCCGCTTTGTGGGCAACTTTCATGTTGATTTATTGGAAATGGTTTGAGACTTGCACAATGTCGACCTCGTAGTTACAATATATAGTCTTGGCCGCATGCCATCCAGAACAAAAGTGTTGCATTCGTCCTTCAAGAAACGACCCAAATTGTGCCAGGAAAAAGGGTCATTGCAAACAGTACTCAGAGCACATCTGCAATGGCTGGTGGCATGCTTTCCTGCACTATACATGTTCTGCTTCAGTATGCTTCCTGCCTGTGGCCAGGCCAATCAAAGTACTGCTTAGCAGTACCTCACAGCGAACCCAGGACCCTCTGCTCACACAGCTCACTCAGAGTGTTTGGACATAAAGGTTGTTGGTTGACTCCTCGTCTTGCAATAAATAAACAAACATTCACCACCTTCTGCTATAGGCATGGCCGTCCTCACCAATTCCATCCGACACACTCATGAGGAAAAAACGAAGAACACCTCGGATAAAGTCAAGAACACCCAACGGTTATATAATGCTTATGAGTGTCACATGATGTCCCTGAAGCAAATGCAACCGTTATCAAAACATCCGGACCTATTACATATATGTTTTGACAACACAACAGCAGTGTCAGTGTAAGGACACCACCACGAACTTGTTCTCTCTAGCATCATAGCCAACTCTAGATGCCCACAATTTTCAGGTCATGGCGTGCTTTGCTTCACCAATCCTAGCTTGGCCAAGTTCAGCTCACCTGAGTGGGTTGTCTTTCCGGTTTGTCCAAAACCAAGGCAAAGATTGGGCTGCCTCAAGGAAGTTCAGGTGCAGGGTTGGATGTCAAAACCTCAGCATCTTGAACCTGTTGATCGTCCACCTGCAGAAAAAAAAAGAAAGACAAACACCACGGTGCACCCATCCCTCCCGCCGTCGTGCTCACGCCCCCACGCCCCCACCGTCACCCCACGTCACCGCCGGTCCGAGAGGCCGTTGGACCCTCCGGACCCAGGACCTTGAAGCCTCGTTTTCGCTCGGTCGAGCGGAGGGGCCATCGGTTCCGGGGGCACCGGGGCCGCATGACCCGGGCGGGTTTCGGGCTTTCGGCCAAGGTGGTGAATCGGGATGATGTTCCGGGCAATATACAACTCCGACTTATTATGAACATGGAGGTAAGAAAACCATAGAAAACCCTATGTTGGTAGAGGAAAGTCGTCTTCCTTGCGGGACTGGCTGCCATCCACTTCGTCTGTAACTCCTTACCCAAACACTCCATGTGTGTCATCTATGCCGCCCCAGACAGACCCCCCCATTGGCACCACCCCTGGCCGAGAAACAGTCCGGTAGTCTGGCAGTCCCGTGAGTCGTGTCTGGGTTACTCCGGACCTCCATCCGGACCTCCCAAGGCCCAACCTGATGCTCTCGCGACTCTCTGAGATCGGAAGGGCCGCCAGAAGGAGGGCCTTCTGCGCGACCGACCGCCGTTTTTCACGGTGCGTCACCACACCGGGCCTTGAAAGAGCTTCGAAGTCAAGGCACTGGAACTGAAACTCAACCATACAGTAGACGTAGATATACTAAGCTGCTTGTAAATCTGATTTTGGGGATGTCTGTTGTTGCACGCGCAAATGGGCCGTTCTTCAAAACAAATAACTTTTTGAAGGAAACTTTGGATCTTTAGAACACTGATGGAACGCCTAAGGGCACTCCTGAGGGCATATTTCCATCCCCAAACCCTGGACAAAAAGGAACAAACAACAACACTCAACAACAGTCCTCAGTTTGGACCTTTTGACGATGACCACAAGAATCCCTGAACATCATCATCTTCTTCATCATCGTGAACCAGCAACAACCCTTCCCTCCACGTCTTCCTTGCCTCGCAGCCTGCCAGGCGCCCAGCGCCGCAGTGAGCCCTGCGAAGTGCCAGGCCGACATTGGGCCCGTCGAACCCTGGCAGCGAATTGGAAAACAGGGCGATTCACCCTGGGCGATTCGGATTGAGCGATGCCAAGGTCAGCCAGTGGATCTTCCATGATCTTCCATGATCTGCTTCTAGTTTACATGTTTACACACCCCAAAAGTGAAGAGAATAGAACCGGGTTCGCAATCACGCGTTGCCCATCGCGTTCCCATTGTGTGGAGCGTTTACCAAAGCCATCTTGCGATGTCTCTGACCAGTCATGACCAGTGCATTCACATCAGCGCGGTCCGTCCGCGCGCTTCGAAAGAAGTCAATGAAGCACTTCACTATAGTGTCATACCAGGACCCTCCGCTGGTAGGGGTGTCTATGTATAGCCCCAAACAGCCGTGATTCGGGGTGTCCATTAACCACCCCTTGAAGGCCCTGGTATGTACTAGTTGAGCGACATGACAATCACGTGGGTCATCAGATGTCGTGAGCATTGCAGCCCCCCATCGCTCACGCCCACGCCCACGCCCACCTGCACTTCGGCAGGGCCCACTTCGCGCGCGTCAGCGCCACGCAGCACGCGAGCGTCGGCTCCGCGGCTGGGCGGGCTGGGCGTTCTCCGCTCGACACGGCTCACCAAGAAGGTCCAGCCACCTGACGGCGAGGTCTCCCGACAGAGCCCAGCGCTCCGAAGAAAAAGAGCGGCGCCGAAGGGATGGTGATTTGATTATCTTTTGTTGGGGGGTGGTTGAAGCTGGTGGTGCGTGGTGGGGCACATCTCCGGATGGTTGGGACTTAGACAAATGAAAAGACCTGACATTTTTGATGGTATGAGGAGTCTTTAAAGTAGTAGAAGCAAACATGTGCGCCCCTCCACCCGAAAGACCGGCAAGCCTTTTCAGACTTCAAAACTCCGGTGAATCCCTAGCATGCCATGCCACTCAAGGCTTTGACGACCTCTTTCATTGCCTCATCGAGCCCGGGCCACGCGACCACCGACCACGCCCCCCCGCCTGCCGACAGCAAGGCAGGCAGCCGCGCCCATCGGATCCGCCGGCCCATGGGATCCTAAGCAAGCGCGGAAGGGATGACAAGCATGAGTGGCCGAGGTGGTACCTATACACCCAGAATCATCCAGGGGCCGAAGTGGTGACATAACTTAACCATCTACTATATATATATATAGTTTGTTATTTTGTTTGGCCGATTTCGCGTGATTCAGCAAAAACCTTACGGCCGTAGAACATCAAATTCTTCAAATGTCGTGGATTAATGAAATTCCCTGCCCCCTGGAAAGGCATCTTGTGTGGCTTCACCCGGACCTACCTGAAGGGAAAAAATCAGGCACCTCCGGTCCAACTCAGTTGAGGCATGCCCTGGACAGTCACCAAATCGCCCGACACACACAAACCGGTCGGCCAAGCAGTGTGCCAAACATGAAGCATGTCCAGCAGGGTACCATCATCCATAACAGAACATCACTATAAGAGTTCATTTGATACTGTCTTTGAAACTCATGCATAGTGGCAAATAGAAACTCCTTAAACAACAAATCCAAACAATGTGTCCAAAATTTCAAACAATAAACAATCCTCTAAGGACATGCGCAACATATCCTTAATCTGCATGGTTTTAAAGATATTGGTAAAAATCACTGCCAGAATAACCTCTTCATATGCCGGGGTTGAAACATCCTCAAGAGCCTACGATTAGCATGCCTGCTTACCTCACACTAAGGCGCCCGACACAGTGAACCCGGGCGGGCGGCCACCCCGGAGCGGAACATGGAACTGGAACTGCGAAAGCATGTGAGAGATACTCGGGGTTTGGAAGAGTGCGTGGATCATATTAATGGACTATGTAAATCATATATGAATCACGCATTATAGGTTCAATTTAAATAAATATACATATATATATAGTTCATACACATCAATATAAGTCATACATAATCATATACATATACGTATATATATATATATCACAAGCACAGGGGGCATCCCCGTTCCAGCCATATCAAAAAGCATAACACGAGATCACGCAAGGAGGTTCACAGGAAGTTAGTGTGGGGTGCTAAAAAAAAGCGCTGTGATCCAGAACGTGTGGTACGCATCTCATGTTTTTGTGCCTGCAGTCTTTTTCAGCAGTCTCTAAGTCTCTGATATCTAAGCCGCCAAGCCTTCGAAGCCTCTCAGAATCTCCTTTCTTTTTGGCCTCCTTGTCTTTCTTGGAGTCATCTTCATGCTTCTTGTGCCTTTTCTTTTCTTTTGCCGGCTCCAATTCTTTGGATTCCTTTGTGTCTTTCAAGTTCGACATCTCCTTCTTTGCGGAAGCTTTCTCTGGCTTAGCTGTATTCTGTTTCTTGTTCGGCCCTGACGGGATTTCCTCGCCTTCCTACATGGTTCGGCTGTTGACGTTGGCTCAAAAACACGCAAGAAGCCTCATTCCCAAGCACCCATGTCACGGCGAAGACTGCAGCCTTTGCAAAAGTTGCTTGGCACTGAAGGAATCTGGAGAACAAAGTGGCGGAAACCAGGTTGGTGAGCGTATGCTGCCATCCTCCTCACATCGGTCACTGAACATGATGCCGGCTGAACAACAGTGATTTGAGTTTTGACTTTTTGAGCACCCCTATCTCCTTGTCCTTGTCCTTTCCTTAGCTTTCCCTTCCTTGTCCTGTCCTTTCCTTTTCCTGTTCCTTTTGCTTTCCTTTCCAATATGCGTTTTAGACTGCGTAGAAAAAGCGTATTCAAAAATTGCATTCCTTACCTGTCCGTTTCCTTTCCTTTGCGTGGCGTTCCTTTCCTTGTCCTTTTCCTTTCCTTTTCTTTTCCTGTCCAATATGCTCTTTAGACTGCTTAGAAAATTCGCAAATTGCATTCCTTCCCTTTCCATTTTCCATGTCCTTTTCCTTTCCTTTCCCTTCCTTGTTCGTTCCTCTCCGCTTCCTTTTCCTCTTGCTTTCCTTTCCAATATGCTTTTTAGACTGCCTGGAAAAGCGTTCTCACAAATTGCTATACCCTTTTCCTTTCCTCTTCTTCGCGTTCCTTTGACTTCGCCTTTCTTTTCACCCCACTGCGTAACTTATGCCCCACAGAACCGAAACTGAAACGAACCGTGAACCAAACCAAAGGAACCAAACCGAACCGATTCGAAGCTTTAATTGAGCGTTCAAGCTGATTCCACAACCGAACCAAAGCCTTACTGGACTTAGGCCTATCGAAGTAAATGAAAGCTTCAGTTTAAAATAAACGTAGGCACCCCTCACATACATGCATGCCATGTGCGCGCAGATCAAACCAAGCACACAGGCGAGGCACGCGGAGCAGAAGGGCACCTGACAGGAAACGCCACGCGGGGCTGGGGAGGCCAACGTCAGGACGATGTCTTGGAGGGGAGGCGACTTCCACTTCTGGAACCAACCATGATCCCCTTAGCTGCTGGAATGCAAGCACTGCAAACAGTGTCAATGCAGCAAGGCACTGCGCACAGCAGCTTGGCTCGCTCGTAAATGTTGGAGCTCCGCAACTTCTTAACGTCGTACGTACCACTCCTCCAGGCGCTGGGCCAGGGGGACGTCCACGTAGATGTTCTGCCAGGACGTGGACCAAGAGCACGTGCGCTGCTTCATCAATTCAGAACTTATGAGCAATTGACGACAACAACAACAACAAACAACAAGAAACAATAAAACTACACCGCCACAACAACAACCACAACCACAACAACCACCACAACCACACCCGCAACAACCACAACCACAACCACAACCCCAACCCCAACCCCAATCCAATCCAAACAAACAAATAAACAAACAAGCAACCAAACAAACCGAACCGAACCAAACCAAACCAAGCCAAGCCAAAAGAAAAACAACAAAAAAACAAACAAACAAACAAACCAAACACACCAAACAAACCACACACACCAAACCAAACAAACAAACAAAACAAAACAAAACCAAACCAAACAAACAAAACAAAACAAAACTAAACAAAAGCAACAAACCACAACAAAAAACACACACCAAGCCAAACGAAAATAAACGAAGCGAAGCAATCAAGAAAACAAACCAACATAAACAAAACAACCAGACCACAACCAGTTCAGCCAGAGCTCCAACAGTCTTCCCTTTGCGGCCCGTCGTTGGTACACTTGTACCAGGTAGCCGCGGGCGATAGTTTAGTCGGGGAAACTTGACCAGAGTTTGGCCGATTTGGCTCAACCGATTTGCATGCCGATTCCAACCAGTTCAGCCAGAGCTCCAACATTCGTCTCTTGAAAGCCCATCGCTCGTAGACGCGGGTGAGGTAGTTAGGCCGGGGCAGATTGCCGCGTCGTGCCGTTGAGCGACTCGGTGCCTTGCAAAGGTTTTTCGTTTTGAATTGTTAATGCAATGATGCGAAGCAATCGCCTGGTTTTGGGCGTCTGCGCGACTCGCCCTCAGAGCCTTTTGCAGCGCCTCCAATCAACTTCAAATGACAAGAAACAGGGGGGTGTCTTTGTTCGGTGGGATAAACTTGCCAATTTTCGGGTCTAGCCTGCTCTTCATCTTCTTCGTCGGCTTCTTTGCAGGATCGTGCTTTCTTTTTGGCCTCTTTCTTCGCGTCTTTGCGCCTCAACGTGGGCAAGTAAGAGTTTTTGGTTATCATGAGTAGAAACTCCTGTCCTTTGCTTTTCTTCTGCGGCCAGTTCTACCCGGCGCTTGGCTGCCGCAACATCCTGCCAGAACAGCCGCTTCCAAACTGCGGAAATCGAATAGACAATCGTCCTGGGGGTCGAGGCCCTGGAGGTAGTTCTCCACGTTCAGCGCCTTGCAATTATACATCACACATCGTCGTTGTTTTACTCCGGAGTGTCACGTGCCTTTGGGCGTTTTTGCATAGGCTTCAGCTCTGACGAAAGAGCTGTTGCTAGTTCGGGGTCCTCGCGAGGTAGGCAAAATGCATTTTTTGGATTCATGTCATTAAAGTTGAACATAATTCTGTATATCCTCATTCGGTGGCCGGGGTCTGTTTGACGAACACAGAGGGAGCCCCAGCCTGTGTGAAGCAAGCGCTCTACATTCCATGACCGTAGAGGGTTGAAAATGTGGCCTTGCGAGCAGCTTCTTCGTCTTCTACCTGTCAATCCAACAATCTTCAACCAATGTATGATGGGATTCCTTGCGACTAAAATCTTCTGAATCACGTTGCCTTGCGGACAATCTCCCGTAGGATCTTATCCTTTGCCTCAAATGTATGTCATATGTGTGGAAGGCACAAGAGAAAGGTTTTTAAGCTTCCAACAAGTACGGTTAGCTTTCGCTTATTATGAGGCTTACGCCTGACAGCCGGGCGCCGGCCTATTTGGGTTTGGGTATGTGCAGGGCTGGGTCCTGTCTCTCTCTCTCTCTCTCTCTTTGAGACTTGGTGGAGCTATCTGGTGCGCATCTTGGCCCTAGGTTGGGCCAAGTTGAGCCCATGTGGTCTATGTTGGGCACATCTTGGGCCCAAGTTGAGCCTATGTTGGGCCTAGGTCGGCCTATGTTAGGCCTAGGTTGAGCCTATGTTGGGCCTATGTTGGCGTATGTTGGCCCCATGTTGGCATATGTTGGCCCTATGTTGAGCCATCTTGGAGGCTATGTTGGGCATATGTTGGCTATCTTGGGCCTATGTGCCCTGTTAGGCCAGAGTCGTGTCCGCCGAAGGCCACGAAACACTGTAAAAAACGATGTTTTTGAACATTTTTTGAACAGCCTGTGCCAGATACATATGTATCGGTCGACACGGGGTCGACACGGGGTCTCCCTGCGGTCCAACAAAAGGGTCGGCGGCAGGGGCGGCGAGCGTATATCCGGGCGCCGGCCAGGACGCCCGTGGCATGCCCGGAGGGCCTTCGAGAAGGTTATAGACGGTCGCGCCGGCTGCCGCCGACCCTCGTCACGAAAACGGGGGGACCCCGTCGTCACTACCGGGTCACTGAAGCCCCTGTAATTTACAGTGTATCGTGTGTGTGAGGTATAAAAAACACTGTGTTTTACAGGGTTTATTGCGCATATCGAAGTACGACGGGGCGAAAAGGGAAAAATGCAAAAACCATGTGTTTTTCAAGGGCGGTGTCGGTAATGCGCGCCCGGCGGACAAGCATAATCGACATTTTGTGGGTAGAGGCCTTCTAGACAATTTCAATTGCCTAACATATCCTCAACATAGGCCTAAGATAGCCAACATATCCCCAACATAGCCTCCAAGATGGCTCAACATAGGGCCAACATAGGCCAACATGGGGCCAACATAGGCCCAACATAGGCCCAACCTGGGCAAACATAGGCCAACATAGGCCTAACATAGGCCAACATAGGCTCAACATGGGCCCAAGATGTGCCCAACATAGATCACATGGGCGCAACACAGGCCCAATGCGCACCAGATAGCTTAACTCCCGTCTCCGACACGGACCAGTTTCCCACCTTGGCACCACCCAGGGCCCAGTACGCCCCCGATAGCTTAACGTGCACCCGACCCAGCCCTACACAGACCCAAGATGTTCATTTTGAAAAGGAGCGCAATGGACGTGTCCTGTTGGGACTTTCCGTCTTTGAGCTGCTGCCAGCGGGCTCTGCGCTGTCTGTTGTTGTGGGTGGCCCTTTCCCACTGTACCTCACGCGCCAAATTGAAGCTGATTTTTGAATTTGATTTGAGCGTGTTCGAGCCTGTTGCGCCCGCTCGAAGCGCTTTATGGCCCGAAGGTCTCGCTCCGTGGCGAGCTGCACTTGGGAGCGACGCTCCCTCTCCTGGATCGACAGAAATAATTGCTTTCAAATGTGGAGAATGCGTTGTATTAGCCGGGGCTATGTTGAAACTGTCAATTCCATGGTCGATCTCTCTCTCGTTTCCTGTCCTTGTCACGCGGGTTGGCGTACTCAACCTCGCGCCAGCGGGCCACGACCACTCGCAGCCACGACACGATTGTTTCGTGCCATGGCTGGAGGGCCTCCCTGTCAGCGCCAAGGCGCACGGCCTCACACGCGGCTGCTTTGAAGTGCACGCGTTGTAGAATGTTTCGGATTGGGTGTTGGACGAGCAGGTCCACCAACTTGTCAACTGTGTGCTGCTGGAGCATCTCGCCCAGGTCGAGCCCCAGGCTTAAGACGCCCCAGATCCCTCAACATCGCAATGAGGTTTTCTCGAGCGAGTCGGCGAACTCCTGTCTGAGATCCCTGCACTCCAGGTTGGCTTCTACTGATGTCCACGTCACGCGGCGTGCCGGGACAGTGTAAGCCTACAAGGCATGCTCAAAGTTTTTGTTTTAACGAGTTCGACGTAATTTCCTGGCATAAGAAAGAGTTGCTGGACTCAACGTCCCTGTGGTTAATTTGATTTCCTTATGTTGTTTACATGTCCACGTCCTTCTTCTGGTATGCATCCTATCGGTAGCTGTCACAGATCTTGTCCATATTTTTGTCACCCTTGTTTTTGTAGCCTTGTAACTCTCTTCTTGCCCTTCGTTTTCTTTTGTAAATGGTAAGTGCTCTACATCTTTATTATCTTCCAGTCTTCTCTTGGGACTTTTCTCGTCTTGTTGAGTACGTCGTATCTTTTCGCGACAATATTGTCTCGATGTGTTCGCACGTGGCCTTGAATTCTGCGATTAAGTTATTGCTCTGTTATGCTACAGTTGTTTTCGGAGAGGCGCTTCGGAGTTAGAAACTCTTATTTACCAACATTTGTCTCTACATGTCATGAGCAATGCAAAGACCACTGGAATTGCGACTTCAAGCAAGGTCAAAAAAACACTCCTTTTGGGCTATACTTGCATAATATTAAGCACGTTCGTTGAGTCGGGGAAACCGAAAATATCATGCCTTCTGAGCCTTCCTCCTTTTGGCAACGAGAGCTTCTTCCTGAATAATTCGAGCAAATTCCGAAAACTGCACAAGAATTCTTGTTTCGGCCGTCCTTTGCTGCTAGCTTTTCGCGCGCGGACTTGCGGTTGCGGTCCGCGCGGTCAGCCTTGCGCTCTCGGCGCTTCCTGCAAAAAAAAGAGCTGCAATGTGTCACTGTCTAAATTTTGAACATCGAGTCTCCTCTCGCGACGTGCCTGCCACAAATATGCGTAAAGAATTTTCTTCAAAGAAAAGCTACGCGGGAGGCCTGCGTGACTCACAAGATTCTGTTCGTGCAGTCTGCGAGCTGGGTGGAGGAATGAAATTGCACCTGGGCACAAAGGGACGCCCATCCAATGCCTTTATTCATCAACAAAAGCCTTCTAGGATGTCACACATCAGTGGTTTTTGGAAAACCAAATGCTTTTTTACAAAACCCGGTGAGTTTCCGGGTGTGTGTGTGTGCGTGAAAACCCCCTCAAAATAACAGGTTTCTGGTGCTGAAGGTATATGTGGATCTTCCACCCGTGCAAATTTTATGCCTTTTATACCTACCAACCAGCCAAAAGGCGGAACTTTTTTGCATAGTTGGAAGAAAGATCCTCGTACGGATTCGTAAGGTATACATGAAATGATTACAACTGCGGCCTGGCAAAACCCACTGGCCATGTCACTGTCTAAATTGTTTTTGGGTAAACTGGGGCGGACTTAAAGATGTCAAGATGTCATTCCTGCATTTAAAAATAACTGCTGCTGGGGCCCCAGCTCGGAAGTACTCAATGATGAAGCCAATAAAATCAATGAATAACTTTAAAACATGAATTAAAGAAGTGGGTTAACCTTCCTGTGGGACAAGGGTAAGGCAAAGGAGGCCCTCATGCAACCAAACCGGAGATCTGTCATGCAGCCAAACGGTCCTGTAGCCATAAAGTTCATTTCTAGTTGTTATATAAATGAGAAATCGGTCAGGCAGCCAGGCAGCCAGGCTTCACGCCCCTCTCTCTCTCCTACTCTCTCCTTTGATAGACGACCATCTCCCCCAATTCGAACGTAGAATTGAAAATAATTCACTTTTGAAAAAGTTTCATACCTGCACTTATGCAAATCACCTCAGTAGTGACAGGGCTTTGTATGCCCTCCCCTTAGTGCAGTCGGTAGCGCTACCGACTGCAGTAAGCCTCCATGTGATTTTCTTAAGTGCTGGTGAACATAATTCAGGAATGCTTAAATCAATGCAAAAACCATGCCCCATTGATTGAGAGCCATGGGCTTACTGAGGTCGGTAGCGCTACCGACCTCCCTAGGGGGGTATGGCATGCCCTCCCCTTACTGCACTGATTTCCTTAAGTGCAGCTGCATTTTGACAAAAAAATATGTACTACTTCCCAATCAGGGTGGCCAGCAAGAAAAAAACATGTCATCCCCCAGGGAGTTAAGTGTAGGGCAGTAAAAGCATCCATACTACAACCAAAAGCGTCTTTCACATGTGCATTCACTATACCTTCGGGCCCTTTAGGTGTTTAAACTTGAGTCCATAGACAAACTTGAGGAGACGGGGGTGGGATTCCAAAAGAAAGGGCCTGGCCTTCATGTTAAGCAAAATGGCATAGCAGGGGGCCTCCGCTTCAAACTCTGTGTGGGTCAGGCTGCCATCTGTTGCATAGGGCAGGATCACGAGATCCAGTGTGGGCGCTTCAATAGGCGGGAACGAAAAGTCCCCTGGAGATGATGTTTGTCATGTCGTGTCTCACTTCACACGAAGTGGGGGGAGGACGCTTGTAGTGATTTTTCAATTGACCCCTTCGATTTTGACCCATGTAATAGTAAACTGACACTTCAGCTGATCTCCTTCAGAGATCGCTTTCGTGACTTAAGGTCATATCCACTTGCCTGGGGGTGTCAGAGCAAATCCCGACCAGTCCATCCCGCCAGCACGATCACGACCAGCCCAGCCAGCCAGCAGCGACAGCGAGCCGCCGCCATCATCTGTCACTACAAAAAAGTGGCCGAGACTGAAGAGCATAAGTACAAGCCAGGTGATCGGTAGATTGGAATCTATTGTTGGCTTCCTGCTCAGTTACAAGACCAATTGGCACGGAGGTTCAGCGCCTTCAACCTGCGTATGCGTATGTGAGCGCCGCGCGTCTCCACGGTTCGCCTGGGGGG